CTGGAATGTGTGTAGGGATTGGACATGTTGGGGGGGGTTCAAGTTCCATACTAGTCGGTTTCTTAGCTCAACCTAATATTTGTCAAATACGTGAACCTTTGCAGTTTCCATTGGACATCTTGACAATGAATTAAAAATGTTTCAAGGTGCTTTTAACTACACACAAATTAAGCTGATATCTCTAGGTCTTCTGTCAAGTCAGATCCAGAGTATAGTACATGTATATGGTAGTTGTGTTCACACATAGGACACCGACCTGTTTGGAAGACAGTCGCCTTGATCTGTCATCGTAAAAGGCAAGTTACTTCCAATGCTACCGTATATTACTCAGGGCCGTGTCTGGTCAAAGTTGGGTGTCGTGCGTATATTTTATCCCAGAAGTTCATTTCTAAAGTCTGTTCACCTTTTGCATCACTGAAATTAAAATTGATTCTCTCTTTACTTTTTCGCACATTCTTATGAGGGAAATTTGTATAGATTCTAATTGATTGCTGATCAATGTTTGCTATTTTAAAGGTGGATTCGTACAGGTACAGCTAGTAGTCATGCTGGGAATTTGCAAAAGTGGAACGCGTCGACTATAGTAACCAAATTTGCTGCGGTTGTTTCATGGTGTCTGATTATGTGTGTGTTGCCTGAAGTATGAACTGGTCTTGTCTTAACACGATTTTGAACTTTGATTTTCTGTAAAAAGTCTGGTCCGTAATATCACGAAGCAACGTATTTAATTGTGAATGCCAGTATATTGTAATTGCTTGAAAAGGAAATGTCTGTTTTCTTTTATTTCATGGTTTTCAATAACTTCATTAAAATCAGTGATATCTAACGGAAAGAAGTTGAAATTCGAAAGCTGATGTTACATTATCCCCGAGATCGATGGTCATGTGTAGACAGAAACACAGGGGTAGGCAACTGAACAACACAGACACATTCTGGTAGTTGTTAAACCATATCTTCTTTATCTTGAACAAACACAGTGCCCCTTGCCATGGAATTCTTTATTTCAAATCTTGTCAAGTACTCAAAGGGCTCAAAATAGCAAACCCGCAATCGCAACTTAGCTTTTTGGTAGATAAGTTTTAAACTCTTTTGCAAGAAATTGTTGAAGAAACTTGTTGGGAGGTAATATTTTCTGTTTTGAAGATCTTCCTAACTTCAGGACTTGAGGTTTTCCAATCAAGAGTTACCAACTAGTACAACACTATTCAATAATGCACAATATTTACGGCCTTACTAACCACAGAATTCCGTTCTTATTAACACCATTCAGTGCCAACAGCAGTTCCACTACAAGGACTAGATTCGTTTCATGAACTAGTTTCATGAACACTTCAATCATAGTTTATTGCTATTCAACACTTGCATGTACACCCTATCCTCATGTTACTGTTAAAACAGTGGAGTTGTCACTTGGATAGAGAAAACGATAACACTTTTTGTTGAAAGGGGGGTTTACTATGTGGCCTAAAATAACTTGCCCCTCACAAAGCACTCCTGCGTTGTAAAACTCTGCTGGAGAGGGGACACTGCAGAAACTTTATAACGGTTTGGCCTCATAACTGCTGTCGTTCCCAGCTAAATTACTAACGTTAACCTGCTGAGCAGAAATGCTAAGCAAGGTATGCATTTGCCAAGCAGCCTCGTGGAATCGACCCTATGTGTGGCTTGCTCTCAGCGTTTGCGCTTAGCGCCGGAGGGCTGCTGTTGGTTACTCAGTTTCCTCTTCAGTTCGCTGACGGTCTGCCTGAGCGAGGCCACCTCCCTCTCAGACGCTGCCTGGGCATTCAGCATCTTCTGCAAAGAGATGTTAAGTTTCATTGAGAAAAACTGAACCAGTTTCGTTGAAGGGCACCCATTACCACCAAGGCAGTCCCTTATGAATGAGGAAAAGAAAATCAATATAAGAATACTCCTTCACAACCGTACAGTGATTATGAAAAACGGTACCAGTACAGTGGACAGGTTGTACACATGTATATATGGTACTTCAATTCGACCAATAGGGTGCCATGATTTGCTGAATGCACGTGCGCATTGAGCCCAAGACTAGGCCTTTATATTTAAATGTCTCTTTTCAATATATTCACCAATACGGACCTCAATAATTTTCACCCCCATTCAACGTGATCACTTTCGTCAGACTACAAACTCAGTGAAGCATCAACACAGAGAGCTTGCTTTGTTCTTTTCTTATGCAGATGACGGTAGCCTTTTTTCAAGGCTCTTTCTGTGATGAGCTCAAGGTTTGGCTTTACCTCTCTCAAGATGTGGCTACTGGCCGAGTTGGGCTTATCGCTGCGTTGGGTCCTGGCACTCTGTAACTTCACAAGTTTGGCATCATACTGAAAAGCATCAGAGGCCATATATTGATTTTGATTTCCAAAAATTGTGACAAAAAGCACCTTAGATATATTTGTATATTATATAAAGGCTATTATTACTTCCAATCCAAAAAATAAATTGCAAAAGTGTCATATAAAAACAGTACCTTCAGCAAAGAGTGATTTGTTCGAGCACACAGAAAGCGTATACTTCAGTGCATCTGGGCCCAATGACATGCCCAAAGTTACCAACTTCAAATGAATTTTAACACACCCACCACTTAAAAACTTGTAAAAATATTCTAATGTTTCGATTCACTTAGACTCTACCTCCTGCCTGAGTTTGACAATCTCCATCTGTCGGTCCTTCTGTGCCTCAACCAGTTGTTGTTGAAGCTGCTTGATCTCAGCTGACTTGTCGTGCACCGCCTGCTGGAGGGCCCTAGCTTTCTCCTCCACTGCAGGAAACAAAGGATTAAAACCGCCTAGGTTGCTAGCTTACAAAGCTCCTTCACAACTTGATCAACCATCAAAGACCCTTTGTCCCTTGTCGATAATTTTTCCTTGCTGCACTTCTTTTTCTTGACCCAAAAATTTCAAAAATCCTCTCAACACAGGTACCTAAACGTGGATCAATCCATCCTTCGATTTCCATTGTGCAAGGTTTGATAAACGACTTGCTTTCAAAAGTAGTTCTCAGGAACTTTGGACTGATTTTGTTGAGTCTAAGATTGTTTTTTGGGAGTCTGCGGAAGGCACCCCACAGCTTTTGCCTCCTGTCCTGCCCCTCCCCTTGGTCAAAGCACCGCCCACTTCACAAGAAGATGCGGATGCCTCACTCTCTCTGACTTGTTGATGATGACTGTCTTCCATCTCAGCCTTGTCTGTGGCATGGACTTGCTCTAGGTGTGCTTGCACATCCAAGAGTGCCCCCTGGCCTTCCTAAAAATGGAATAATCCGTACATAACCATTACCACTTGCAAAGCACTCTGATCAAAAATGGGCATACTGCCGCACTGTAATCTAACTGGAGATTTGACGAAGTACACAGTTATCAAACTACCTTCTTCTGGGCTCCTTCAGAATTCTGAAGATCAGCTTCCATGACTTTTCCAGGCCTTTAATCTCCTGGACAACTTCTTCCAGAATTTTCCATGACCGTAGAAACCCTTCTTATTTCAAGGAAATCTTCATAACCACATCTTCAAGATTGATTTTTGTCCTAATCAAAGTTCAAGTTAAAATGCTGACATGACGAAACAATCTCTTCAGATATAAACTCATCTGAATAATCATTCCTTTTGCCCACCTCCTTCAGTTTTGTAATCGTCTCTTCCATGTTGGCAACTACTTCCCGCAAAGACCTGTTTTCATCTGTAAAACAGTACGACAGCAACATAAAAGCTGGACAGAGCTTGTGATACGATGGCAAAATGTGCCAAGATCCCCTGAATCTGACCTTTCAGAATGTTTTCTGCAGCACTTTTTTTTCACCCAGCAGTAAAGATTTTTTATAACGACCGTTTCTTTCAAACTTCTTGCCACATCTTAAACCTTGTGTCTCTTGCCTCCTGAGTGGCATTTGAGACAAAGAAATAGAATCTTTTTCGAGTGTGAGATACCTTCCAAGTCACACCGCTTTGCCAAAGTGTCTTGCAGGCTGGTAATGATGCTGCGATACTGTGTTAATTCTGCGCATGAAAAGACAAATGGGATTTTAAAAATGCATATCAAGAATGGAAAAAAAAATTACTTGGTGACCTGAACATGTATCTTTAATCAAAATCTGACTATCCACTCCAAATTTAATTACAGAGACAAAAAGAACAAGTTACCCTCCTCAGTAGTTCTTGCTGCTTTCCTTCCCTGTTCTCTCTCATCAATGAGATGGTTTAATTCCTGCTGCAGGGAAATGTTTTGAAGACCTAGATCCCGATACTTCTGTATTTGAACAGTTGAATAAAAATGGACTGACTAATAAAAGTAGTGGCAGGCCATTTGTGACACAACTCCACAAGAGAATATTTAGTCAAGACCACATCTTGAATAATGGTGCACTCACAGGTCACATCACTGATTCTTCAAATTCAAGCCACCGAGTTAGCCTGCAGCCCACAAGAGTGTGACAAATTAATTTTATTAAGATGTCTCATATAAATTGTAATGAAGACAGGCAAAAAGACCAATAGCACTAGTACTGTAGGGCCTATTTTATTTAGGCCTACTTCAGAGCTAAGTGTGTTCAGGCTGTACTAAATTCTTCATATAACCATGACAGGCCTAGTTCTGTCAGTAGGCCTATACTATATAGTATAGGCCTAGTTACAAATCTTTTCAAATTACAAAAAAAATTTAAAAAGGTAACCCTGTCTTTTTAAGGCATTAATTCCCAGAGAATGTGTTAACTTTCTCTCAAATCAGCCCCGGCAAAAAGCAGGCTCAGGCATAGACCCAAACATGACCAACAAGGCTTAGACTGAACGCTGTTCAGGCCGCGCCTACCAATATCAAAACGGGCAAAAGGCAAACTTCGTGAAAACAGATTTCAAGTACATCCACAAACCCCCTGCCACTTGGTGAAGTCGTTCGTAAGCTGGTCCAGATCCACCTGCCTGTTGGTCTGCAAAGATTCCGTACTCATCCTGGAGTCGGTGAAACTATAAGGCAAAATTCAGAAAGCATGTATGCGAATTTTGCTCAAAAACGAAGGCAATCCGCGTCAAAAGTTTGACTTGGGTTAAAGTTAAGGTCCGGTTGTGTCAATGCAAAAATTTAATTTGCATGTGACGTCATAGAATAAGAACTGTAGGCGCCCTCAGTCGCTAGACTATCACAACACGCAGTCTGTGTTGTGGCCTTTCTTGTACGTTTGCAATTATTGCAGGTTCACCATTGCTCAGGCTGACAGGAACTTTGACCTTCAAAAGCACACCTTTCTTCTGTTATCAGTGTTGAATTTTTCCCCTTCTTCTCTTAGGTTCTCTCAGGCTCTTTCACAGGGCAATGGGGGCAAACGTTTTCGGGGCAGCATAGCCTTGGCCGTTTTCTAATACTCGGCTTCGGCTGCGTCTCACTGGGGGCTTCAACTTTTTTTTTACTACCTGACTTTGAAGTTGCGAGCGCAAATGTAAGTCTGGAAGTGCCACAAAACACCAAGTAAGATGCAAAAGAGCCAAACATTACAGTACTTCAATTTAATTTAAACGCTTCAGGCCCACAAACGGGGACTGCTTTCGGAGACGAAACCGGAGACGGAGACGAAGTTGAGTATTGCAAAGCGTGTCCGGTTCTTGGGGGAGTTGCAATTGGGGGAAAGAGTTCCCACAGGGTCAGTGTCCCCTTTTCTCCCCGATACGTCACCGCTACTTCTCGGTCGTTCTTGGTGTGCACCAACCTTGGTCAAACACATCAAAAGAAAAAGAAAGAGGAAGCTCTTCACAAGCTACTTCGATCGCGAAAGGGTGTTGTAAGGATTTGTTGCTAAAGCTCACTTACTGTTACATTGCCATTTCTCTAATCCTGTTGACCGATTATTACACGAACATGCAATAATATCAAACTGTTTATTCTATCTTACTCCATGTATTTCAGTTTCGTTCAAACACCACAATGCATACAGCACTAGATCGAAAATCTGGACATCTCAGAAAGCAAACTGTAAAAATAAAACTGCCAAAGAAATAAAAAGTTTACACTCTTCGGTGAAACTGATTGGCACAGCATGCAAGGTTGTGCACTTTCATTGCATAATATACAAACTGTTTAATTAATTTATCTATTTATTTGCACATGAAGTATAAAGATATTGGGTCAAACTATAGGCATCTGCATCTGGGAATGGATTATCCTCAAGACACAGAATAGGGACGTTGCCCCAGCTGGGGCCTACAAAGAGCTCGGGCGAGTACACGAAAACAAGGTGGTAGATGTGTTCAAACACAAATGACAACAGGCACTGCATTCAATTTCCGATTTGGGGGAGGCAACCGGGGGAAACTAGCGATCATAGTTTAAGTTGCTCATTCCAGCTTAGCCTCAACGCGAAATGCAAGGCTCCAACCTGAACCAGCAATATGAAATGAAAAAAAAAACATGGCCGACGGATCACTGGTGCCATAATAGGGCCGACGGAACACTGAATCTGGGACTGCCAGCGCCCGTAGCAGCGGACCCTGTGAGTCTGTGAAGTCCAGCGTTCTATAGGGGTTTCCCTTTTTAGTAACTTCTTATCACAATACAATCAACTAACCATCAATTCTCTAAAACACACGTGTATGGTTTGTACCGTTAAGTTACACATGCAGTAGCGCTGTTTAAGGTTAAAGATTTCCTTGGGATAAGGAGATAATGTCACCTGAACAGCTCGAAATGAAAAGCAAACAGCTAAACGACAATACTGAATACTGAGATAAAACTATTTGCGCAAATCCAATATCCGATTCCCCGAAGTGTAGGACCCAAAATATCGAAGCCTTGCGTTGCAGTTACGTTTGTATCCAGTATTCCAGTCGCATAAATAACACACGGTTATCATAAAGAGTCGATACCTGTGTGACGATTTTCGGAAAACCATTTTTCTTTAAAAAGTGAAGCCATGTTTGATGCCCAGGAGCGTTATTCGCCTTGAGCAGAAGCATGCATACATATCATTGTCAGTCGAGAACCAGCGAAGTGCAGTCCTATCAAAGGAGCCTCCGTTGCTGGGATAATTGCACCCTCTCTTGGTTCCGCTTGGGCCGGATAACAGGAAAGCATGGTCCCATGGAGAGCCATATTGTGTTTCCGTGCCTCATGAAGTCTAGGAGGTCACCTATAATCGGTGAGGGGAGTTGGCGCAGGAGGTGACGGACATGTTCCGCGTGTTCAGCCGGCTCCAGTGCGTGGATTGCTGGCTGGTGCGCCGTCTGTTCGGGCCTCGCGCCTCGCCTGGCAAGCACGTCCCCAGCGCCTGCATGAATCCTTCTCGGAAGCTCTCCGACAGGAAGGCGTAGATGAGAGGGTTCATACAGCTGTTGGCGTAGGCCAAGATATGCAGGCTGAGGCTGACCTTCCAGACGGTTTCCTCGTCGTTCAAGGGATCGAGCCCCGTCAAGCCCTGCCGGAGGAGGATACCGAAGAGGAAGAGGGGACACCAGCAGAGAACAAACACGACGACCACCACGATCAGCATTGTTACGATGTGCTGAAGAAAAACGTAAAATGAGGGACTGAATGACAAGTCAGGGAAATGATCAATCCATTGCTTCAATATCAATTATTAAATATGTATATTGATCTCGGACACGTAATAACTGATAATGATCTCAGTGATTACGACAACATAGTTGTCTTGAGTACTTTGCAGCGAACTACATGTACCGCAAAGTTTATTACCCAACAAAATCTGGACTGTAAGGCGATGCAAAGGAAAGAAAAGTTGAAAAATGGCGGTGCTTGGAAACGGAAGAAAGACAAAAATGCGACCAACTGAAATATGTCTCTTGCAGAGTTCTAGTTCTAGAGTTCTACTGAGCTTACCTGAAGTGTCTGCGATTCTGTTCGTTGGGGGCGCTGTGCAGGCACCCCAGAGTAGCTCACCCTCGTCCCCCCGTGCAGTGCCTCGCCTTCTGAGCCCAGGCAGTTCAGTGTGTCTTCCGACCCGATGGCCGTCGCAGGGGCGCCGTCTTCCTCCAGCCGCTGGAGGGGGATGTTGACCGCCGACAGCGGCCGCATGTGCCTGGTGAGCTTTCTGCCTGTGTAGAGCCGGTGGACGATCAGCGAGTAGCAAACGATCAAGACCAGGATGGGGATGAGGAAGATCAGCACGCACATGTAGATCATGTAGCCCAGGGCCAGCTGGTCTGTGGACCAAGCCTCGTTGCAAACCGTCCAACGGAAGGCGCCAGAGCCCATTTCTGTGGTTGTCTGCGGTTAATTAAAAGGAAAACAAAGGCGGTATTAAGACGGGTACAGACTCGACTGTGGGTCCTTACAATAATTATAACTGAATCGGTCCTGTGCTGAGTTATCAGATGGGAAATGAAGATGGACACCAGAACGACTCACAGTGATAATTGTTGCTCAAAAATCGTGCACAACACAATTTCCGACACATTTTAGAATGAAATCATGCTGTGTTTTGCACTCACAAATTAAGACATTTTCAGTCCTGAAATCCATGGCATTTTTCCTTGAACATTAATTTTATCTCAATATGCAAATAATGATCGACATGATCATTCATTGGAAATTCTCAGTTCGGAATACAGCTTTTCAATCTTCCAGGCTCCATGCTCAAGCCACATTCTATACTTCGAATTTTACATCGTCAGCAGACTAAGATGGAAAGCTTGCGGTAAGCACCATGCAGTATCTCTTTTTGAGTCTGTGTGGTTCTGATAAGAACC